TAAAGTTATACAGCTCACCTAGGGTTTTCTATCACTATTAATGCTTAAGTCGTTTTATTTGAGAACATGAAGATTTCCGAGCTAATTTTTAGAAATTTCCGAAAGATTCCGAACCATATAAGCAAAATAATGGTTATTATGCCTGGTATTATTATACCATTTTTATTATACCGGTATGAAATTTCCCGAGTAGAAAGTAAAAGACGAGCAAGTGAGCAAGGTCGGGTCAAAATTTGAGCAAAAATTCCGACAGATGAAGTAAAGAAACTGGTCACGCTATTAATCAACGATATTTTTCCGGGTCCCTGGTTTGCACCACAAATAAGTCATGTGAATAAATTTTGAGTAGAATATCCTTATACCGATACCAAGTTTTCGTTGTATAATGGCAACTTCACAGCAACTATCGACCTCCCCTTCTAAATCTTTGGCTTCAACATCTAGATCAACGAAACCCATAACGCTTACTTTACCTCGTAAGAGTCGAACCAAAGGTACAGGTGGAAAAAAAGCTGATCCTTTGGATATCGGTTGGTTTTTAATGTTACCTTTTTTTTATTCTATTATCCTTTTTTTATATTAAAATCCATAGATCATTTTATTAACAAGATAATTCCGCTTTTGAGGCTGAACATTATTGCAATGTTCTACTTACCGAAAAGCATCTGAGTGAATTAATACAAAGAGATAATGATTTAAGTACAGGTAACTTACAACATTAGAAAATTAAATACTAAGTATTATTCCTTAATACAAATTCTAACCCTCAAATATTTGCTTTATTTGCTTTCTAGAAATCAGGCAACTTGATGGAGATTTGAAAACATTAGTATATGAAAATTATAACAAGTTTATTAGTGCTACTGATACTATAAGAAAGGTGATTAAAATTGTCAAAGTTTAAATTTATTTTCATGGATGAACATAATTAGCTTAGATTTATTTATAAATAAATAGATGAAAAGTAATGTTGAAAGTATGGAATCTGAAATGGATCAGCTTTCAAAAAGTATTTCCAACATCTCAAATGTTACAACATTGGTAAATTCTGCTCTGGGTCCAAAGCGAGATAAGATTCGTCAATTAACAGGTGTTCATGATTTATTAAAAAAGGTACTTTGTAAATTTTTGTAAATTTCAGCATATTCAAACTAATCAAACTAATGCCTTATCCAATTTGTCACAAAGATTCAATTTATTTTTGAATTGCCTACTAGACTGAAATTATGCCTAGATCAAAAGTCCTACGCCCAGGCTGTAAGATATTATGCAAAGACATCACGTCTTTTAGAACATTATAGAAGCTTGTCTGTATTCAGTTCAATTGAAAGCGAGTGCAAAGAGATTATTGACAAAGTTTCCAAGAAAATTAGAGAAAATATGACCGATGAAAATGTATGTTAATCCCTTGATTGTCATATTCGCTTCTCATTCGAATGATCTATATTGACCTTGGGTTTAATTTTTAGGCAACTGGCTCAGAGATAACAGATTGTATATTATTATTGATTACACTGAAAGAACCTCCACAACAACTTGCTAAAGAATATCTTGAACTGTAATTTCTTCTATTGATATATTGTTTCTTTAGTAAATCCTTTATTCTAAAATTCATTAATGTTTCTCGCTAGTCAAGAAACGTTCCTTTCCAAACTTCTGATAACTACAATTGATGAGATGTCAAATATTCCTGCGGACTATCCTTTGAAATCTTCTGAGGATTATCAATTAACAACCTCGGATGAAAGGGTTATAATCGAACTTTCCTACTTGAATGAAAAGTTTTTAAAGGACTTGAATAAGTTTGTCGAATCTTTCAATGGATTCTTTTTGCAATCACCAAAAGAATGCAAAGATACCAAGTCACCAGGAAAATCACCCGCAAAGTCCCCAAAAAATAGTGATCTTGTTAGATATGTTTCTACCAATTTTGATGCCGAAGTACGTTTATAAATAACCCATTTTATTTGTGAATTTTGTTTAAAACGACAATGTAAATGTATCATTCATATGCGATAATATTTTATCAATTTCAGGTAAAAGAACTTGTGCGTAAGGAATTTTTAGAATTCGTTGATACAATCACGTCAGAATACTTAACGGTCGTTGATCGCCTATTAGAATTTCCGGTATGTTTTTTTTGTTTTTTAATTCGTCAAACGAAACAAACCTTTTTGTAACAAAAGAGCGAATTACCTTATGATGATAACGCCAATGATTTTTTTTTTTTTTAGGAAAACATAATAGATTTTAAACCCAAGACTCACATAAAATTTCTTAACAAACTTAACTTTACTGCATTATCCTGTACAAGTCTTTGTGGTGTCATCAAATTTAATGAGCGTATCAAAGAAGTAATCAGCACACGGGAAACAAGTATTGGAAAGAGACTGTTTGGAAATGCAGAAAAAGAACTTATTGGTTAGCTTTCTTTTTTAATCATATAATAAATTGAATGTTGTATGGTCATTTTAATTTATTATTTATTTATTCATTTTTTATTTTTTTTTTGATTTTTTGTTCATAATTTTTATAAACAGAAAAATTTATAGAGTTTTCTGAAAAACAGAAAACTAAGGTTTTTTCGTCATCACAACAAC